TTCTGAATTTGTAACTGTGCATATTAAAGAAAATTCTTTTGTTAAATTACAAAGAAACGGAGTTCTCTTTACTGTCGCTTATCATATCAACCTTGTGCCGTTTTCTCACTCGAATCTTTCTGCTCGGTGCATTCCCGCACATACTGGACTACTTTGGAGGATGTGAGGCGTATTGAAAATACTAGTGATGTCAAACAATTCGCAGACATATATAACGATAGTTTCCTTGGGTTGATCTTCATGTTGAACCCGGACGGCCTGCTGAGCACTACGGATGCCATATACGTATACACATTCTGCATCATCGCCTGCATCGCTACCACGCTGTTTAATTCTCCATGATTCTTCACGAATTCGTCACGAATTCGCCACTATTCTGTTTTATTTGTTTAGAAAATTTACGAGCATTTTCATTCTAATAAATTATCGAACTTACATCGATACTTACAATCGATTTCGATTCCTGGACTTGTAATTTCTTTTCTCGATTCTTGCAGAGAGTTAACGATTTTTGTATTCCAGAAAGAATTTTAAACAGATTTTCGAAGGATATGGGCATCATGAATGAGTGGCTGTCCAAACTAATATTGGAGGCAAGAGGTTTTAAGTAGTATGTGGTACAATGATCATGGAGGCGATAATCAGTGGATGCTGACATTGATAGCCATACTAGTCATCTTGTTTTTCTTCGCTACGAAATCCTATAGAGGATATGAAGATTGGTCAAGACCTCAAACGTCTCGAAGGCGTAAGTTAGTATATTAGAGCAAGTAACACGTTATTAGAAAAAAGTGCGGTATATATTACATCCTGAGATCTAAATTCGTGAACTCCTGCCAAAGAATTTGTATTTTTTAAGTTCTTACATTTCCCGGAATTTAATAAATTATTCAGAAATTTTTTTGAATATGTTTTTGCGTTTTCAGTGAAGAGTCCCATATTCTCATACGTAAATGCCACTCTGAATAGTTTGCTGACGATTAGAAGTAGCGGCATTGAAATCGAGAAATTAATGCGAAAACGATTCAATGAATTGCAAGATCGTCACAGCGGCACGTGGTATCTCTTTTTAACATGCGCTATAGCTGTCGTTGCGGATTTAATAATGTGCCTGTTCCTCGCCTGCATTTGCTTTTGTCTAATACCAATGAATGAGACTAGTAAATTATAATATATCTAATTAATTAATAAGTTCTTAGTTAAGGAGAGTTAAATTTTTTTTCTAAATTTTTCATAAAGATTCAAAAGGCTACAACTTAGAAGAATTAATTAGTAGAATTAAATAAACTTTATGTTTTCTTATTTCAGTGTGTGATTCTTTTTCTCAATCATCAGACTATTGCAAGTTCTCTTTATTCTTTATACTATAGACAGTATAGTTGGCAGCAAAGCAGATCTAGCAATATCGCAGTTCTGATCGTTCGTCTACAATATACTATAAAACAGTCAAGTTTAGCGAGTCGGTGTCATTGATGACCTCCGTGGAAAGGATTCTTCAGTACATGAACCTTCCTAAGAAAGAACCTATTACCTCGGACAATCCACCGTCACCTACATGGCCATCCCAAGAACAATTGATTTTAAAGGATGTGAACATGAAATATCATATCGATGATTCACCAGTTTTGAAGGTATAAAATAAATCGAAGATATAAAATAGATCGAAAATGTTCATTCTTACAAACATTATTTGTGTTTTATCACATAATCGGGCTTTACAGAATCTGAATGCATCCATCGAGCCTGGCTGGAAAATTGGGATGGTTGGACGAATTGACGCCGGCAAGTCCTCCTTGATCTCGGCACTTTTCCGCTTGTTCAATGAAGGTCTAGAAGGCGAGATCAAAATCGATGGTCGGGACACAAGCACGATGGACCTCAGTAAACTGCGCTGCAAAATCTCCATTATACCTATTAATCATTATACAGAAACCTGTGCTCTTTTCTGAGAGTCTATGTTACAATCTGAATTTAATCAATACGACTTCAAGCTATGGGAGGTGTTGCGGCAAGTCCAGCTGAATGATGTCACACTGGACTGGATACGATATCTTCTCTGGCAGTCATAACTTCAACGTCGGTCAGAGGTAATTCATATGCCTGGCCAGAGCCATCTTGAAAAACAATCGCTTGCTCGTTCTCGATGAAGTCACGGCAATATTGATTAGCAGTGAGTCTTTACGATTCTTATTTGTATTTAAATATCATTTGAAGACAATAAATTTTGATTGATTAATTATATATCAATAAATTCTCCATAATAAATGAAGTCACAGTAATCGCAACAAAGTCATGATGACATGCAAATATTTACCTTGTCACGGGTGTGATATGACAGTAAAATCATTGTACTGTACGAATATCCGCTTTGTTACAAATGTGACATCATTATACAGATGAATTAACAGTTATTTATTGTGTTATGACACATAATGATGTGGTGTAGTCTTTGATGATTTTACAATAACATCACAAGTTATGATGTGACTTTTAAGAATTTATTATTGTATAATGTGAGATATAGCTTCTTTTGCTATGAGGTATAGCAATAAATTACCATATGTAAATAATTCATACTTTCTATTATTAAGTTGCTCCTTTTTGCGAATAATTGTGAATAATATGAAATATTTTCACAGTATGTTACAAGGTAGGGTAGGTGTAGGTATTAAGTTACAGTCGGATACGATAAACATTCATTTTATAATAAATTCAAGATTAATAAAAAGCAAATCTTTTCAAATTAAATCAGATTGGTAGACATATCCATATATATTTTGTACCTTATAATTTGCAATGCACGAGAAAGAAGGGGGAGGGAGAGGTAGGGAACGAGGGAGCAAAGGAGGGGGGGAGGAAGGGAGAGAGAGAGAGAGATTCTAAATTTAACATGTTTATAAATTTACGTCCCTCTACGTAATTTTATAGTATATATGTATACTTATATATGTTCTCTTATGCCAGTTAGTACGTAATCAAATTTACGAAGAAAAGGAAGAGTAAAACAAGAAAGAGAATCATACTAAGAAGACATAATTTGAGGATAAGGCATAATTTATGTTTAGTATTATTTGCTAACTTCTAATAACTTCAGTTTTTCTTTACTGCCCCATAATTATAACGTAAATATGTCGCATCTACTGTAAAGACGGATTAGGAATAAATATGTTATTTTTTCGATTATCCTTATATCAGCGTATGTGACAAAATAAAATATGATAAATAGTAGTAAAGCAAGGCGGGTTCTAACCCATGGGGCTAGAGGGGAGCGCGGGGCGCGGGGGGTACTCGTCGGCGCGGGGGATGTTCGTAACGCAGGGAAGGAAGGGGAAAGGTCCCGGCGCTATTGATGTAAGGACCCCGGTCCTTATTTACCTTGCCGCCTCTCTGTCTCCAAAAATGCAATAAAGATGCATACACTTACCGCATCTGTTACTATCATCACCTACTACCATCTGTTTTTTTCTTACGTTTCATCTTTTCCGCTGCCGCCGCATTGTCACTCTCGTTATATCTTCATGCATGCAAACATTATTATACGTTTTAAAAAGAGAACACTTAATACGGTCGTGACAGTACCATCGAGTGTGAAGGATGGGAAGTAAAAGAAAATACGTACATAATAATGCGAACAAAAAAATGTTTATTCACATCTTATTACACTGGTTTTCGTACTTATTAAAAACTAAAGCTAATAGTTCGCAATCGACGAGCTGATGTCCATTGAAGATGTCACTATCACGTATAATGTTCTCAGATGCGATGTTGGAGAACCGCGTATACTTGGTATCCACCGTATCGACGAGCTAATCGTTCGAACGTTACATCGATACACCCGTTAAAGTCAAACATACGGCGTAGCATCGTTTCGGTCATCGTACGGATGAAGAATCGAGACGTACGAGCGTAGCATCGTTCAGCATGCAAACACTGACGGTTAGCGGTCCAACGCTTATAAAATTATCCTTGTATTCATTTCGAAATAGCTTATAAATATTTCCTCGCTGTTCGTAGAGGCTCTTCCACGTTTCGAGAGACAGCGATAGTTCGTGTCCGCGATGATCTCCAAGGGCGACCTCCACGTAACTCGGTGGGCCAACGTTGATTCCAATTTCCCAAAATTTGTAGCCCGTATTCGTCAGATCGTAATGTCTGCTCAGTAAACGCACCGCACGATGCTCCGTATTGTGTACATACATAATGTTAAAAAACGTTACTTTTGTGTATAGAATGTTGAAACTTACATGTTATATTCCTTCTTCACATCGTACGATGCACTGCTCTCTTTAGTGAAGTACATTTTTTCAGCCATTCATACAAGCGGGTATCGCAAGACTGATTGCATCCGCGTAAATTATGGCGTAATACTTCTGAAAGCGAGAGAAGGCAGATCCTCCTCCTCTTTCCAAGAATTTCGAATACGTTGCGACACGTTTATACATACGTACATACGTTTATACATACGTATATACGTTTATACATACGTTTATACATACATACGTACATACGTACATACGTTTATACATTACAAAGGAAGGGAAAAGAAATACATAATAAATACGTTAACGTATTTTTATTTAAAAAATT